TTTGTAATCGGGAAAGTCAATTAAGAGATTTTGTTGTTGTTGTTGTTGATTGTTGTTAATGAGCCAACATCCATTCCAGGGAGTGATGCTGAAAATGAAGAGGCAGCTCAGGAGGTACCTTCAGGAGGTACCTTTTCAGACTCAAGAGTCTTGCCCCATGAGAACTGAAAGCTCCCAGCTCTAGCCAGTAGCCTCTTGATGTGTTAAGAGACAGAGTTCAGAACTCTGATAGCAACGTGAACCTCACCTAATGAAAATGCTCTCTATTTTCCTCTTTTTCTGCTTTTTATCTAATCACTATGCTACAGTTGCCAATTTACTGGATATTTTTGCTCGTTGGATTAAAAAGACGAGTAAACTGAAAAAGAACCAGGAAATATTTAACAAGTAGAAGCAGGAAGAATTTTTAATGAGCTAAAGAGACCTTCAGAAATTGAAATGAAATGAAGAGAAATGTTTCAAGCAGAAAATGACTTGGCTTCTTTATACATCTCCCTAGACCTATTTTAAATCCCCAGCACACTCACTCATTTGCCTAATTTCTACAAAATTTGGAAATTTGTGTAGCTATCAAATATTTTAGCAGTTAACACTGAAAACTCAAAAATAGGGATAAGAGCCTAATCTTCCCTTCGCTGTTGCAGTAAACTCATTAATCAAGACTTTTTCTCCTCTTTTCTTTGTTCTTTTTGTCATACAGCTCATTATAGTAGCACATATGTATAATTTTACTACACTGTTATAAAATGGAAGCATTTTTATAGCTTACATTCAAAAGCCAAGTAGAGCTACCAGTCTATGTATTTGCTAGGTGACCTTAAGCCCTCAGCATAGATGAAGTCTTTATTATACCTTGGCATCTTGTTTGAAGTATTGGCAAAGTCTGTATCTAATTGGAAAGGCTGTGGTTCCCTTACATTGTCACAAAGTATATGAAGTAACCATGAGCCAGGAGAATTACATGGACTTCCTGTGAAGTGGCTGATGGCACACAAATTCATAGTGACGTAAGTCACAAGGAAGATTAGACAGGAGATCACATATCATGACTGAAAAACACGCAACATAACATTGAGGATCCTTTATATAAGGAGGAAATATACTTGCTAGTATTTCTAGGAACTGATTACAGATTCTTCAGCGATTTTAAAGCATCGTTTTATGGAGTGCACGTAAATAATTATCTTAGCAATACAGTACATTTTTCCATTTATAGTCTTTATTTGACTACGGAGATTATAGATCCAAAAATGCAAGGAAAATGAAATTAATTTGGAAAGCATAAAAACCAGTTCAAAACTGCAGAAAAGAGAATGCAGTCTCCTTGTTGGATAACTTGTAATTGTCCTCTTACCTGAACATGTTGCAGTTGTGAAACCTTGCAAAAGGATGGAGTCCAACTCTCCTTGTAATTCCAGGGCTTCCAGAAATGTCTCTGTCTCAGTTTGACTCTGTTCTCCTGACATTTCTGCTCGGTTTTTAACTTGAGAGAATGGAAGTAAACATTAACCCCATGTATTGTTGACTAAGTATTCAGGTCAAATATCTGTATTATTTATAATGCTTTCATTTAGCCTGGTTAGGTATGGCACTCAATTATTCTTCACAGAGAAGCTGATCAAGAGATGTCATACATGGTATTCCATCCTGTTCTTGTTCATCTTGCTTTCGGTCTTGTTTCTTTGATCTATACATTCATCTATAAGAGCTAGATGAATGAATAATAATTCAGGACTAGTTAAAGACAAACAGTAGATCAGACAAACCAATGAACACCTACAGGTATCATGCTTCAAGCACCATACTCCTCTAAAATGTAAAATGAAACAGTAGCCCTCAAGGTAGCCATGGTCTGTGACACCAGCAGATATAGATAGGTATCTGTGATATAACATATAATGTGATACACACTATCATGTAGGTAATAATATAAAAGAACACTATGGGAAAATTAGCTGCGCCTTAATTAATAATTAATTTTTTACCTGTAAGGCAAAGGAAGAGGAGAGGGAAAGGAATACATGGGAAGTTACTGAAACGAGTAACATTTAAGCTGGGCCTGGAAGTATCATGAGGTCTTTGCCAGAGAAAGCAACAGGGCATTGCAAAAAGTACAATAAACTGTTTGTTTATAACTGACATTATTCTTCAAAGAATTTGAGGTGAATTTGAGTTAAATGGTTTATCTTGCAATAAAGTAAATAAATAAAACGTTAGTGTTAGGAAACCATAAACACAAGTACAACATTCAAGATTGGGTTTAGATTAGGATACATGTGAAGATGATAATGTCTTCCACAGTTAACAAAAACTGAGAGAAAAACCGTGTGCTGGCAATTAAAGTGATCAAAGAAACTCTTTGTAACTTGAGCTCACTTTTTAGTTGTGCTCCACCTTTGGGTGTCACTTTGTCATCTGCATGATGAGGAGTTCCCACTGCATGGAGTTGTAGTGAAGATGGTGTAAAGCACATGGCACACGGGACGTGCTGAGGAAATCTCACTTGACCTTCAGACCTACTGTCCATTGGGTTTACCTATTGTTCTGCTAGGAATGCACGCCAATACTATTCCAGTGGTCCATTTTCTGTTTTTAAATTTGCAAATATTACTTTGGGCTTCTACTCCAGCATTTTGATATAGAGGACACTAAAGGTTAAAAACAGTTGAAAGCAAACTAACAGGGAGGCCAATTTCCTGATCATGCATTGGTACCCAGAGAGAAATCTGCAGTGAATTTTCATCATGTGAAGTATCACTTGATATCCTCTTAGCAAATGTTTGAGGAAGACAAATCCAGTTTCATGAAGTATGAAGATAACTGACAACGTTCAATGACTCCGTCTCCTAAGAATATTTGGGTGTTAATGAGGGACAGAGAATTAACTTTTAGTTTGGTCATTTCAGTCTTTGATAAACATGGGGAGAGAAATTTTCCTGATAATTCTGTGGTGCTGCTGTTTTTGGTGTTGTTTAATGTAAAGTTCCTTCTTGATGCCTCTAGACATCATTCCACATAGGAATCCCCCAATTCTGTCTGCTCCTGAGGGGAGAACTTATGCTATATGTTAGTAGCAAAACTTTTCAGAGTTGCCTAGATAGTGGGGGAGGAGTTGTGCTTGTTAACGGCCAACTAGAGACGAAAGTACTTTATAGTTTTGCTTTTGACACATCTTCCCTTGAGATTTTTCTTATCTGTAAGCAGTCAACCGCCATTCCAAATACATTTCAATAAATTTTAACCTGGATATCTAAAATAGCCTTTGATGAAATCTAGATTAATTTGTCTTAATTTCAAATTAAATGTCAATTGAATACTAAAATCATATTAGGAAAGAACAAAGTGTGTAATGCTTATCTTAATTATTGATTAATTATACCTGTTGTGATTGGCCTTTTTTATTAATCTACCAAAGTCTTACTGAGTTTGTAATAAGTCAATAACTCACAAATTAATTCTTTTGTCCTGGTTCCTTCACAATCAATGTCATTTTTTTCATCTTCCCTTTTGGAAGGGAAGGGGAAAAGGCAATTCTCTCTTTTTTAGATGCTTTTACTCTTAATACTGAATCTCCAAATTTAAAATGGCAGAGTTAAATCATCTAGGTAAAATACAGTACGTGTAGAGAGAAATAATATAGTATATAATTTTTTAAAACATCAGAATCAACATATACTCTAGAATTTTGACTTTGGCTTTGATATGTGAGACAAAGTATAGGTAATTGTTATACCAATGTTGAATTTCTGAAGACCAGCCAACTTGGAAAATTTCTTATAATCATATTTTTAAGAAATTATTCAGATAACTCTCACTAAAAGAAACAACGCTGGACTATGAAAACAAAATGGAAAAGTTCATACCAGAAGAAGATGTTCTCTTCTACAAAAACAGTGATGCAAGGGTTTGAGCAGGAAGCCATGGTTAACCCTTCTTCTTATTCCTTCCTTTCTGTTGTGTGTCATCTCACTGAGGGCTAGGAAATGATTGCTGGATGTGAGATGTGGATCCTTAATGATTGTGGTGCAGTGGTCAGAAACTCACACGTTAAAGAATGGGGTCCTGATATAGATTGGACAGAAAGGTGAGTGAGTAGGCAGGGTGGAGAGAGTGAGAGTAAAACATCTTGCAGCATACATGTATATTATCCTGTACTTTCAGAGGATTAAATGTTTTGGCTACTCACATATTTCATTTGCAAGAAAGTCATCGTTATATATCAGTGATGAATAGTTCACTTAAGAATTAACATACAGTTAAATACACTGAAGACAAAACCATATTGGACATAATTTAATTTCTCTTAATGATTCGGAAGGCATTTCAGAATCTGGCAATCCTCATTTTGAACATCAATCATCGTTGTATGTTAAACATGGAAGAATCTGCCAAGAGAGTTTGCCCATTAAGCAAGCGTTACTGTGCTTTTTAAAAATATTTCACAGACAAGAAGATAGCAGCTTCATATAAAAGGTACCAGTTTAGGAGCTGCTTTGGGCAAGGCCACTTGCTCAAGGATAAATATTGTGATGCAGTGTGGTGCTTAGTCACAGGTGAAAGGCAGTGTTCAATGTGAGTGTGAACACATCATTTGACCTTTCTCAGCCTCCACTGCCTCTCAGGCAATGTAGAATGCTAAGGCCACTCCACTCAGGAGAACGATGAGAAATCAAGAGGAGAGAAAAACAGATCATAAATAAATAAATATATATATATATATCATACAACTTCTAATGGAAAGTGTTCTATGTTTGAACAGATAATTGATTTTAGAAATTCTGATTCTTTAATGTCTTCCCTGGTAAACTAGATCTTTGCCAGTGGCAGTCTTGTGAGTCTGGGGCCACTTTGGTTTCCTGGGAACCAGCTGCCTAAAGATCATCTCTGCTGAAGTCATATGTGGCATCTGGTAGCGCCCATGAGTTTAGCTAATTCATCTTTGCAGAATAGAAAAGGTTTCTACACAGTTAGATGTGAGCTCCCTGCTGAATCTCCTCCTTCAGATGCCAAGAGGAAGCCTCTGTTGGAAGTCACTGCAGCCAAGTGGATTCTATCTGGTACAGGGTGTTTTGTTTATTTCCTGTGGAAGATGTTTTCTTTTATTCTGTTGGCCTTGGGAGTTGAGCTGTCTGCAATAGTAGTTTCCTTACTTGTCTGTACAGTTGTCTATTCAGAAGCAGCTTATTATGTGTCTAGCTGATGGCCTTTAGTTGGAAGGTGCTACTCCTCAGCTAAAACCTGTAATCAGTAGTCTGTCAACTCAAACTCTGACTTACAAGTGAATGTGAGGCAGAGCCTGCTTGCGTGACAAGCTGTAGTGGTGTAATGAGTCTTCACTCTGCCCTGACTCTGCTGCTTAGAGGCAACCCACAGGCTGCTAGGAAACTTCTGGCAACATCATGCTGGCCACTTTCTATCCTTTGAACATTTAGACATTGCAAGAAAGCGTGACTAGTAGACTTGAGATGCCTAATTGATAGCTAGATTTGTTTTTCAAAGGATTTTTGATTGCAAGGATTGATTAGAAGCATGTAACCAGCCCATATTTACAGTGACTGAGATGTTTCAGCCATTGCTGGTGATCTTGCAGATCTTGCATAAGCATGACTTCCATCTATTAACTATTTTTCAACAATGTTTGAGATTAATATTAAGCGTAATGCATGATATTAAAAATAAGACATGTAAGAGCATATTGTACCTCTCTAAGACTAGGCTGCCTACTCAGCCCTGGTACTATGATGGTACTCCATGAGATGTCCCTGTCGTAAAGTGTATCATCCTACACTATCACTTACCTGTGACTGACCTCTCTTCCCAACTAAAATGTAAGCACTTTGAGAGTAGTAATTTTATTTTTGCCTCTCTAGCACCTAGCATTGTGCCTGATGTGTTGAAGATGCTAAAAAATAACAGAACAGATAAGTACATGAAAATATAAATTAACATGTAAGAGAAAGGGAGTAGAGAGGGGAAAATGCAGAGAAGGTATGGAAGTAGAAAGAACAGAAGGAGGGAGGGTCAACAAATGTGAAGGTTATTGTTATTTAGTCTGGGCAGATGTTATACTGAGAGTTGTAACTTCATTTATCACCTTTAAGCTATGTGTTCTCATAGTGTGTTCAGTGTTCAAATAAAGATTTGGCAAAATGATATCCCTTTATTTCTTTACTTTTCACTTAAGCTGATCTTTTTAAAATACAAGCCAACTAGACTCAAGAATGTTGACTTTGGCTTTGATGTGTGAGACAATGTGTAGGTAATTGACATATTCACCTCAACCAGGATGGACTTTCAACCAGGATGTGCAATGAGTCTTCCATTCTTGACTAAAGAGGAGGCAGCCTAGCATAATGGCTGAAGGCATGAGTTCTGTGACCAGATCTGGGTTGTGTCTACTCTACCACTAATTAAATATATGCCCTTGAATATGTGATTTATCTGAGCCATCATTTCCTCATCTGTAAAGGAGGGATTATAGTGACCGTGATATAGGACTGTTGGCAAACTCAAAGTCGTGCCTGTAAAGCATTCAGAACAGTACCCAGCACCCTGTAGACATGTCCTACATGTTGGCACTCCAACACCATCCCTTTTCAGGAAGGTAGTCATTAGGACAGCAAGGAGGAGGAGTGTTCTGAGCTGGTCACCCCAAGCTGCAGTTTCTGATGTAGCCCCGCATTTTTGATGTAGCCCCACATTTGGTGTTGATGACTCGAAGCCACCTGCTATGAGTGCTGAATTCTTGAAGGTGGGGAGGGAAATAGGGCGGTTGGAGGGGGAAGCCTGATATTGAAGTGAACTAAATCTGTGCAACTGGCTATTTTTGTCAGCCCAGCCACAGTTGGGTATGTGATCGGGTGTCTACTTTTGATCCAGCTCTTTTTATAGATGCTGCTTTTTCTTAAAAGCGACTCTTCCTCGATCCTCTACCAGGCTGCTGAGCTGATTAGGAAGATTGCTTATGGAGTATTTATCATCTGCAATCTGGAATAGACAACATTTAGATTAGTAATTAGATACTCCTTTAAGATGTAAAAGCAGTCTCATTATCAACTCTAGCATAGATTCAGCGTAATGGTATTTTATCCATAAAGACTGCAAACACAGCATTACCATTTCAAAAGCGCTTCATATTGTCAGCCTAGGCTCAATCTGTACAGGCAGTTTGGTGATAATCAGAGCCAACATCAGTACATCGCAGCAGCCAGTCCTCTTTATTCTTATAATGAAACTTTGACTTCAACCGTTTCAAAGCATGTCCTCATTATCATCACTCAGATTGGTTCAATTAGAATCCCCTAGCTCTTTCCAAAGAGCATGTATATGAAGTTACAAACTGTTAGTATAAAGGGAGGACATCTGTGTTATTTCGTGCTTTTAAATATTTTTAAAGAATTGTCTGAAATCTTTCCTACCTGTATTGACACACTGAAAAAGGTATTTTTAAGAAGCTGGATGTTACTATGAACCACAGGATCCATAATGGCATGCCAGGTGTGTCTCTGGTAACCATGGGTGAATATTCCCTGGGAGAAGAAAGCTGAATGAGACTTGTTGCCATGCCCCCTGAATGTCTTCAGTACCAAGTAGACTGAACACTACGTCTTGAAAGAGGAAATCGGTGTCAGTCAGTGAAGGCGTGCTCTAGGGGGTTATCTGGCTGCATGAAGCATGGAGCACCTCATAATAACAAGGATTTTTGACCGCTTCAGGAAAAGGTCAGCCATTTTGGAAAAATATGAACTCTTTTCTCCCTTGTTATTACCCCACCCCCACCACCCCAGGACAAGGCAGGTGGTCCATGCAGGCTTATGCTAATGAATTAGGCAGCTTGTACTGTATGAAGTGCATTTTCATAACTATGAACAAAACAGGCCGTGGGGCAGGGGGGCGGGGGAGGTGGAAATTTGATGGGTGGCTTCCACTCAAAGGATAAGATGCATTTATCTGAAGGCAATTC